AGGCTGAAGAGTCTGCACTGGAAGCCAGGAGGTGAAGTCCAAGCTGATCAAACCACAGCAACCTGAGCCTGACTGCTTTGTTGAAACAGCCACTTAGAGAACTGAGCTAAGGGGCATGACCCCAAAATCCAAGCTGATGTGAAGACTAAAGCTCCTCCGAGGAAGTGGAATGCCGAATCCTTCTGCAACCCTTTTATATCCCCCTTTTGTGCTCAGTTATTCTGGGCCTTCACAGCCCAGAGTGTGGAACTGCCAGGAATCTAGCCAAATTGACACAATATTGACCACTACAATGGTCTTTTAAAATATACTATCTTTGGGCCACCCAGATAGCTCAGCGGATTAAAAGGGATTAAAGCAGGGACAGGGGTGCCATCTCCGGAGGCATGTGGTGCTGGCCCAGCCCCCCAGAACGCAATGAGACTGCGATTGAGACTGGGTGTGGTGGTGCTTGCCTGTAACCCCAGGACTTGGGAGGCTGAAAACAGGAGGATCAGTACAAGTCCCATTTGTGTAATAAGACCCTGTAGACCCTCTACTAAATATACAAGTAAATAAATAAATAAACAATAGTATCTGAACATGTTAAAATAGGCAACTAATAAAACTCAATTTGTCACCCTTTGAGGTTTATAAAATTGCACACAGGGCTTCCGGCTACCCTGCGCCGGTGGGACCTGACCGGTCCAAGTCCAGGGCAGCGTGGGTGAGACCCTCTTTCACCCCCGTGGGACCCCCCACCACTCCATGGCCCCCCCACCCGCCCACCAAATGAGAACTTCTGCCGTGTTCTTGGGACCCCCAGATCCAGCCCTAGCCCATGCCCGGTGAGTGTGTGGGAGAGCTTCTGGCTACCCTGCACCAATGGGACCCATCCGTCCAAGCCCAGGGGCAGCGTGGGTGAACCCTCTTCCACCCACTTGGGACCCCCAACTACCACTCCACAGTACCCCCACCACTCCTGCCAAGTGAGTGAGAACTTCTGCCGCATTCTCGAAGCCCCCAGATCCAGCCCTAGCCCAGGCCAGGTGAGTGTGTGGGAGAGCTGCCTCTTCCCCCTACTCCACCTTGTCTTCTCCAGACTCAGCTCAGGCATGGCATGCAGGCCTGGGGTGAAACTCTGCAGCTGAAGTCCCTGCAGAGAGAGTAGGGGACAGAACCACCCAGCTAGTCCAGGAGCAGAACATCTTGCCAGAGGGGCACAACAGGTTCACTCCCAAGGGCGGCAGCAGGAAGGAGCTGAGCACAGCAGCCAGATCCTAGCCAGGCACAGCTGGATAAATCCAAACTTTGTAGATCTGCACCTGAATTTCAGTAGGTGCTAAGGTTATATTGCACCAAAGCTCTACAACAAAGGTCAGAAGACGGTGCTATACAAAATTGCGCACAGACAAGATATTGGCCGTGTAGTATCACAGTAATAAGCAGAGGACAGTTTTTTTCAATAATAATCCACCACAACTAAAATGACTAACACATCTTCCTTCCTGACATGTAGAGCTCCAGTGTCTGCAGAGAAAGAACCTGTCAAACTTCATGTTTTTTTAAACATATATCTTGGTAAAACAAAATTAACTTTGAATCAAGCATTGTTTGAACAAAATCATGAGTACATGGTGGCCCATTATACTGTCATCTGTACTTTTTGTATGTTTTTGAAATTTCCCATAAGAACCAAGAAAGACAGGCAGAATGTTAATTTTTGGTTTTAGTAGTGTTATCTTATATTTGCTTTCAATGGGTGTTGCAGTCGTTTCTTACGAAAGCCTCTAAGCACAATGTCTCTGAACTTCACACAATTACCTGACATCACAATCTTTCTCATCTTCCTTTGATTCCAAAGACTCACCATTTCAAAGCGTTTTTCCCTCTGTTATTGTGAGAAATAAGCAGTAAGAGTCCAGTTTCCTGTCAGTTTCACTCCACAGAAAAAGTTTTAGAGAACGCTTTGTGATGCTTCTTCCTTCCTCTTGGAGATTTCTCTGCTAAATGACCTCTGCCCCACACTTCACTCCCCTTCTTATTCTTTATATAGTCATCATCAGCTCTGTGGGATATTTCTGTGCAGCAGACCACTTTGTAACCCATGTGCACACTGAAATTTCAAAAAGGAGAATTTTCTTAGCTTCAAGAAAAAGAATAAGCATTAACCAAAGAGAACAAAGGAATTTGTCTTCCTGTTTACTGGGAAAATCAAAGCATACCTGTGTGAAACTGTTTGATACCCATCAGTAGTAAGTGCACTATGTTCTTAAGCACCTCTCCTCCACCGGGCATAGCCAGGCATGATAGAACATAGCTGCAATTACAGTGTTTGGGAGGCTGAGGCAGGAAGATTACTGTGTGTTCAAGCCCAGCCTGTGCTACATAATAAACTCAAGGCCAGCCTGAACAACATAGTGAGACATTGTCTCAAAACCAAAGCAAAACAAAAAGAATAAGATAGCAAAATAGACATGGTTGCAAAATAGGCCGTGGAAACTTAGGACTTTGTGTGGACAGCCATTTTATTCGAAGAATCTCCCATATAAAGGAAACAAACTGAAATAAGCTATTGTTGCCAAGGTAGAAGATGCTAAAAGTATATTTAACAAAAAGGAGGTTTGATGTGCATCAGGGAAGCCTTTCCTATAGATATGAGGCTTTCCCACAATTCAGATTATTTTGAATCACTATTTTACAGAGGGATGGGAGCTTATGAGCAAGAAGAAATTCAGGGGATGCAGGATTGGAATAGAATATATTTTCAGTTAATGGTACCAAAGAAAGAATTTATGGTACCAAAGAAAAAGACAGAATGCCTCAGATGTGCCATGCATACATTGAAATAAATTTAAAAATAAATAAATTCATTCCTTTTAAAACATCCATTTAAATTTAAGAAATATTATTTCAAAATCATTGTATCTAGGAGCAGTGTTTAAATTAGGATTAGGGGGAGGCAGCGGAGATAAAGAAGAATATCAGTATGACTTAAGATTATGTTCTACTAAAGAATCTATTGAATGGAAAGATTCATAAATCACAATCAGTTATAATTCTGTACATCAGAAGTGTGTACATGGTAAGACCATGGCCAAGTACACTGGAACTGAGACCAAGGACTCAGACCGGTCCTGAATACACAATTCAGCAGGAGGAAGAAGTGTTGAATGTTTGTTCTCATAATAGTGTTTGAGAATTTTGATCACTAGGGAGTTTAGAGTCCTTTTTAAAAACTCACAGTATATGATTATACAGCACTTTTCTGAAATACTGTAATTATTACTTGTATACCAAATGAAATATAAATCTTATATTTAAAGGAACATTACTGCGCTATATTCATAATTAAGTGACTAATATGACTAACTCAGAAGATCACAAAAGAAGGCTGCACACCTGCAATCCCAGCACTCAGGAGGCTGAGGCAGGAGGACTGTTGGAGTTTGAGACCAGCCTGGGCTACAAAGTGAGCTCAAGGCCAGCCTGATCTGCATAGTGAGATGCTGTCTCAAAAAGACCCTCCCAAAACAATCACAAAATACTATTCTATAAGATAAATGTCTTTTAGGCATCAGCTATATAAGGGAGCCTGGGAAAACAGTTTGCATATTGTCTTCCTTTCCTATTCTGATAGTGATGGAGTTTTCTCTATTTTAAGCCAGTGGTAGGGCACTGAAAGTTGTATTCATCCCACAATGTATCTAAAATTATGTCTTAATTTTTATGTTTTACTGTTAGCAAGCATGTTTTTGAACATTTAAAAATTACTGGAGCTGGGTAGATGGCTCAGTGGAAATAGCGCTTTCCTGGCAAGCGCATGGGCCTGAGTTCAATCCCTGGTTCCACCAAAATAAATAAATAAATAAATAAATAAATATTTTTTAAAAATTACTAACTCCTTTAATATTTGTCTTCAGCATAATATGTTATTAAAATACTTTTTAATTTTTCTAATTTACGTAGATTTCTCCAAGTGTATCCCTTAATGGATAGAGTATATAGTGCATCCTTAATAAATTAAAAAATAAGATTATGGTTTTAGAGTAAATGGTCATTATTCATAAAAATTGTATCAACAATTTATGCACAAAGGCTATATATATGTGTATATATGTATGTATGTACATATATATAGATAGATAGATAATTTCTTCAAGGAAAATAATGCAACAAAGGACTGAAAAAAAGTCATAAAACAAAATAGGGCCACTTTAGAGAATCTCAAAATGTGATTCTCTTTTGTTGCAGGCATTTTGATTTTTCCAGCCATTCGTCAGTTTTACATGATAAAAGCTATTGTAAAACTAGGCTGGGGATATAGCTCAGCAGCATAAGCACCTGCCTGGCAAGTGCAAGATCCTGAGTTTGATCCCTTGCACTGGAAAAAAAATTTTTTTTAAAGGCAAGTAAAAATAATTTGGCAGAGCCACTTACCTCGCTGAGTCTGCACAGTGCTTAGTGATGAAAGTGTCTCTCGGGCGCCTCCACTGCTCCTTCAGGCCGCAGCACTGAGAGCCCTGTGCTCACTTTCAGCCTTGCTCTTCTTTTTTGCATGTAAAGGCAAAAAAAGATCCACTTGCTTGTACATCTGCTGCCCGGAGCTGTGAGCCCTCGAAGGGCAAGGAGTGTGTCTTCTTTGACATTTTGTCCCCATTCACAGCAAGGGACTCAGTCACTCCACAATTGTAGTTGTTACTTGGCTTGATTTTAAAAAGGTTCCTTTTCAGATTTTAAACAGCAGTTTAATGACTTTTCTTGCACTTGGCTGAGTCTGCTAATTCAACCCATCTCGACTGTGAGAGCCCAATCGGAATCGTTGGAGGGACACTAAAGCGCACACTGATGACGGTCACCTCCCGAGTTTGTGACTGGCACACAGGTGCTTCTCTAACAAGTATCTGCGTGATTCTAAGGCTATTCATCTTGGGACTATATTTTAGGAACCACTGAATTCAAGAATTTACCTTCTAGCAACTCACAAGAAGGTAGTAAATAAAGCTATTTTTATTTTTCAGGAAAAACATTAGGTGAAAAAGCTATCACTAGAGCACCCATGAATGGCCACTGTCATCTGTGGTAAGCATGTCGGATTTCTGAAGTGTAAAAAGTCCTCGTATGCCTCTGTAGCCATTGTGTTTGAATTTTTTGAATTATAATTGATCATTGATCTTGGTAGCCAGTCATTGAAAAATGTATTTACTACATTGTTCAACAGCTTTTCTTACTTATTATGTATTTCTCTTTAGGTGTTTTTAAATGTAATTAAGATTTACACTCATGGATTTCATCAATGAACATACCACATCGAGTGGCTTTGAATATATCAAATTATAATAAAATCTACTTTTAAGAGACTATTTTGTTTGAAAACACATACTAAAATTATGCCACATTTCCAAACAAAGTGTAGAAAAAATCTTCTTATAATAAAAAATAGATTAGCCATTTTCTTCTGACTTGAGAAAACATGGTATATAAAGTCCACAACTCAATAAAAAGCTAGTTACAAGAAAGCTCAAATAAAAGGAATTTAATTTAGAGTATAGGTAAATATCTTTGGAATAAGAAAAAGCATTCATGGTTATGTTTTGGACCCTTTGCATATTTTAGGACTGTAAAACAAGAAATATAATTTTTAATTTTTACTCTTTTTGGTTATATTTTGACAAAATTCCTTTTGGTTATATTTTGGTTTTATTTTGACGTCCTTAACCCCCTTTCTCCCTGCAATGCAGATATTTCAAGAGGCTAGGAAAATTCAGTAATAATTTATGCACCTTCCCTCGGTAGTAATTTGCATGGCATCTACCCTTGTTTGGGGCTGTTTCATTCCCCTCCAAACATGCTGGAGCACAGACCCTCTCATAACAGCTTTTCTTCTGCAAGTCCCCATTTGTTGCTCAAGAAACTCATTTTACTCAACCAAATTGTGAAGTAGAAACTGTTTTCCAAACAGATGTCTCTGTACTCTGTGGTCAGCAGGGGGAGCTCCACTCCCAAAATCTCCCAACTAAGTCCTTTTTTTTTTTTTTTTCATAATTTTATTGATAAACAAATAGCAATGAGACAGTTTCAAATCAAATTGGTAGGACAGTTTCAATAATTAACACATTGCATACTTTCCTCCCA